CAGTTTAAGAGCTCTAAACTGAACTGACTGATAAGACGAGAGCTCTAAACTGACACTGAACTGACTGCCAAGCAATCAGTCAGTCAGTCAGTCTCATCAGTTTGGATTGATTGTTAGCAACTCTGATGTTATCCACGTTACGGACGACTTCACACGCCTGACTCTCGATACCATCGCTCTCTGCGCCATGGACTACCGGTTCAACTCGTACTACCAGCAAAAGATGCACCCATTCGTTGAGTCAATGGCCGACTTCCTCAAGACCAGTGGAGACCGTGCGAGGAGGGATCCCATTTCGCAAATGTTTTATGGCGCCGAGTCGCAGAAGTATTGGAGAGATATTGAACTGCTCCGCAAAACCAGTATGGATGTGATCAAGACGAGGAGAGACAACCCGACCGACAAGAAAGATCTACTCAACGGCATGCTGAACGGTGTTGATTCTAAGACTGGCAAGAAGATGACGGTAGGTTAAACACGATTACTGGGACTGAGTACACACTAACATCAACAGGATGAGAGCGTCATCGACAATATGATCACATTCCTGATCGCTGGACACGAGACAACTTCCGGCTTGCTTTCTTTCACTTTCTACTACCTGCTGAAAAACCCTCAAGCATATGAGAAGGCGCAGCAAGAAGTAGATGATGTTATTGGCAAAGGACCAATTACTGTCGACCACTTGACAAAGCTTCCATATCTGAATGCTGTACTACGTGAGTCTCTCCGTCTCCAGCCTACGGCGCCCGCAGTGGGTATGACGGCCAAGGAAGACACTACGATCGGAGGAAAGTATGCGGTCAAGGCAGGCACGCCACTCGTGGCACTATTTCCCATGGTTCACCGCGATCCAGTCGCATATGGCGAGGACGCCGAGGAGTTCCGCCCCGAGCGAATGCTTGACGCAGAGTTTGAAAAGCGCAACACCGAGTTTCCCAACTGCTGGAAGCCATTCGGCAACGGCATGCGAGCCTGCATTGGAAGGCCGTTCGCCTGGCAAGAAGCCCTCTTGGTGCTTGCCATTCTCCTACAGAACTTCAACTTCACTATGGAGGATGCGTCGTACCAGCTTCAAATCAAGCAGACACTTACGATTAAGCCCAAGGACTTTTACATGCGCGCGCATCTCCGAAGTGGCATCTCTGCCACATCTCTCGAACGCATACTGGCGTCGGCTACTCTCAACGAGCCTCCACCAGTGAATGGGGCGCCACGTGTACAGAAGGAAAAACTTGCTATAGGCAAGCCTATGGCCATCTATTATGGGTCCAACACGGGAACATGCGAAGCGCTCGCCAACCGACTTGCGAGTGACGCCGCAAACCATGGCTTCAACGCGGCAGTCGTCGACACCCTGGACGTGGTTCGCGAGAACTTGCCGACCGACAAGCCGATTGTTATTGTCACTGCTTCATACGAGGGAGCGCCTGCCGACAATGCCGCACACTTTGTCAATTGGATTGGCACCTTGAAGGGCAAGGAGCTGGAGAACGTCAACTATGCGGTCTTCGGATGTGGTCATCGCGATTGGGCAAAGACCTTCCACAAGGTACCAAAATATCTTGACGCTACTCTCGAAGAGCGCGGCGCAACCAAGATGGTTCAATGGGGCGGCACTGATGCTGCCTCTGGAGATATCTTCACCGACTTCGAGACCTGGGAAGACCAAGTACTGTGGCCAGCCATGCGCGAGAAGTACGGATCAACGGAGGCCCATGGCGAAGGCTCGCTGGAGACTACGCTTGACGTCGAGGTTACAGCACCGAGGTCGTCGACTTTACGTCAAGACGTCCGCGAGGCTCGTGTAGAGGAAGTTGAAGTTCTTTCTAATGAAGATGCTTCAGAGAAGAGGCACATCGAGATCAGCCTTCCATCAGGCATGACCTACTCAGCAGGCGACTACCTGGCTATCCTACCATTGAACCCCAAAGAGAACGTCCAACGCGCAATGCGATACTTTGGCTTGACTTGGGATTCGATGCTGACTATCTCTTCGGCTGGCCCTACTACTCTCCCGACGGATACGCCCCTCAGCGCTGTTGATGTCTTGGGTGCCTACGTAGAACTCGCCCAACCCGCCAGCAAGCGCAACGTTGTTGCACTGGCTGAAGCTACACCCGATGAAGCGGAGAAGAAGCAGCTCGAGCGACTCGCCGACGAAACCTTCAGCGCCGAGATTACTGCTAAACGCGTCTCCGTTCTCGATCTCCTCGAGCGCTTCCCATCTACGAAGCTGCCACTCGGCGTCTTCCTAAAGATGCAGCCGCCCATGCGTGTGCGTCAATACTCGATATCCTCGTCGCCGTTATGGAATCCCAATAACGTCACCCTCACATACTCTGTTGTCAGCGCGCCAGCCCTCAGTGGCCAGGGTCGGTACGTGGGCGTGGCAACAAACTACCTCGCCAACCTTGCGGCAGGCGACAGGTTGCACGTCAGCGTGCGCCCCTCACACCAAGCCTTCCACCTGCCAAAGGACTCCAAGAACGTCCCGGTCATCATGATGGCAGCAGGAACTGGTCTGGCGCCCTTCCGCGGCTTCATCCAAGAGCGCGCTGCTCAGGTCGCTGCTGGTCGCAAGCTAGCACCCGCCATACTCTTCTATGGTTGCCGGACGCCGTCCAACGACCTCATGTACGCCGACCTCCTCAAGCGCTGGGAAAACATGGGCGCGGTCTCAGTCCGTTATGCCTTCTCGCGCAAATCGGAGGAGTCGCATGGCTGTAAGTACGTGCAAGATCGTGTCTATCACGACCGCGCCGATGTCATTGAACAGTTTGAAGCGGGCGCAAAGCTCTTTGTTTGTGGATCGCGGGGTGTTGGTGATGGGGTGCAGGAGACGCTTATCAAGATTGCGAAGGAGAGGTTGAAGGAGAAGGAGGGCCGGGACGCCGATGATGCCAAGGCTAGGGAGTGGTTTGAGGGGCTGCGAAACGAGAGGTTCGCTACCGACGTCTTCGAGTAGACGTAGAAAATCACTATCCAACTTGTTTGTCACCCATGTTGCCTACTAGCTCAATATTCACGTCCATCGAGCCATACCTCAACGAATCACAAAATCGCCAAACTCTGGTAGAATTCTCAACGGCGGCGGAGAAACCTTACCGCCATCTTGCCAAGGAGTAACCAAGGTTAGGCTTGCGCGCACGTTCTGCGGGATTGCCCCGCCGATGGCCCATGGGCGCAGCCCAGCCCACACACCAGACTTGAGACCCTGAATTACCCGATTGCTCGAATATCACCGAACAAGACACCTTGGTCAAGTTGGGCATGCAACAACGAAGCATTGCAACTCCGCATGAGGCATGCATGCGGCCGAATATCGACGTCCCCACTGGTGATGCTGACCACGTCGTGCTGCGTGCTCTCCCAGTGTCGCAGCTTCGTCCAACAGCTGCATCTCCTTCCCCTTGCGGCGCGACTTTAGACGGGCTGTCAATGGGGCGGTCAGATCTCGATAGGTCTTCCTCCAATGCCTGGGCCGCCTTGGACTTGCTGAGCCCCATACAAGATCGTCAGGGCCCACGGGGCTTCGTGTTATCTGTTCCCGATGCGGTTACGGTGCGGCTCATCTCTTGGACCCTGAAGGAACTTTGGAACAATCAAAGTGCGAGTGCGATACCAACCAAGTCTCGCAACACCTCCCGCAGCTTGCGATAAGCTCAATGGCCTGTAATCATGGATGCTGAATGCTGGTCCTTGTGCTTATGGTCTCTTTCCGGCATTCCTGCCTCTTCCCCTTGCCTCACCGCAACGTGTTCATCCTAGACTGCTAGTGCCGACTGTGCGCCGACGTTGAAATCTCGGTTAGAGACCCACTGTTTCCATGGACGCGAGGCGGTGTCTTGTACACACGGTTTTCTTTGCGACGTTGAAACGTAGGTCGAGTGCATTGAGCTTAGGCTGGTGTACATTAAGGAGCAGATTTTTCGCCTTCCACCCGAACGCGTTTTGGTACAAAAGGATGAGTAGCGACACGGCACGCTCTGCACGCTCCTCCCTCCCTTCTCACCTCCTTGGACCATGATTACAACAACGTCCCGCACACAGGCAGCGCCTGTCAAGACTAGGTTCACTGCTGTGGCCGACGATGTCAAGCCAACTCCGATTCCAGACGTCAAGACCCTAAAGGACGCTATTCCAGCAAAGTGCTTCGAGCGCTCCATGATCCGCTCCTTTTCCTACGTTGTTCGCGATCTCATTATTGTGAGCGGACTCTTCTACTCTGCCGTCCGGCTTTCGCAACTTGACGCCTCGCCCCTTATCACGGTCCCGCTTTGGGCGCTCTACAGCTTTGTACAGGGATGCTTCTTTACCGGCCTCTGGATTCTCGCCCACGACTGTGGCCATGATTCGTTTTCTGACAACCTTACCGTCAACGCTGTGACTGGCTGGTTCCTCCACAGCATTTTGATGGTGCCGTTCTTTAGCTGGAAGTTCAGCCACGCACGTCATCATCGCTACCACAACCACATGGAGAAGGACACTGTTTTCGTCCCTCACCGAAAGTCTGATGCCATTGCCAGGACCACCGAGCCATCCATCATGGAGAAGATCATGGACCACGCCGCTGCCGACACACCACTCATCCAAGTCGGCGCTCTTATCTTCCACCAAGTGTTTGGCTGGCCTGCTTACATCTTGATGAACGCCGGTGCCGGACCGAAGAGTCTGACCAAGAGCGACCGGGCTTCCCAGTCAAAGTACAAGCAAAGCCATTTGGACCCGACTTCGCCCGTATTCACTCCTTCTGAGGCGCCATTTGTCGCCCTGAGCAACGTTGGACTTATTCTCACCATGAGCGCCATCTACCTTGCCTCGAGGAGCGTCGGCACATCGACCGCTCTCTTGGCATACGGTCTCCCTTACCTCTGGATGAACCACTGGATTGTCGCTATTACCTACCTTCACCACACACACGAGGACGCACCTCACTACGAGGCAGAGAACTGGACCTTCATCAAGGGCGCTGCTTCCACTGTTGACCGCGACTTTGGCTTCATTGGTCGCCACATCTTCCACGGTATCATCGAGTACCACGTTGTCCACCATATGTTCCCACGCATTCCCTTCTACCACGCGGAGGAAGCCACATGGGCTATTGCTCCTCTTCTTGGCGAACGCTACATCCAGCAAAAGAGCAACTTCTTTGTCGATCTATGGCAGAGCTTCACTACCTGCAGGTACGTTGAAGAGGGTACTGGCAAGAACGCTGGAGGCTTGGTTTGGGCGAAGAACTAGCTTTGAAAGCGCTTCAGTCCCATGTTTTACGATTAGATTTCCTTTAGACATAGACCAATGCCTTCCATTGTAGAATCTAGACCAAAACTACAACGTCACATACTGCGTGCAAGTCCTTTGCGCTGAACCCTGCCGTGAAACGAATCGACCCAGCTGGAATGGTCCAAGTCTTACTGTCGACATCCCAGAAACTAACGTCTCGCCTCATCAAGTTGAACGTCACCGTCTGTGTCTCACCTGGCAGGAGATGCACCTTCTCGAAACCTCTCAAGACTTTCACGGGCGTGCCTGCAGGGGTCGTGTCCTGAGGAAGCGACAGATATAGCTGTGGTACGGCAGAGCTAGCCCGGCCACCGTTATTCGTGATGTTCACCGTAGCCACAGCGACCACAGTCCATAGATCCCTGAGTCCACCCGGTGCCATTCCTTTCGACTTGTCAGGGACAGGCGTCAAAGGCATACCACGAAGCTCGACATTCATCTCATGACTCATTACAAAACTGGTATACGAGAGTCCAAACCCGAACTCGTAGTGCGGCTCCAAGTCGTCATTCGCGTCGAAGCGACGATAGTCGATCAATTGACCTTCGATGTAATCTGCCTGCCATGCATCTGGATCAGTTACATTGCGAGGCAATTCCACAATGGGTGGACCGTAATCCGCTGCAGCCTTTGGAATAGAGTACGGAAGACGCCCAGATGGCTCTACGTGGCCCCAGAGGACATCAGTAATAGAGTTCCCGGTCTCCTCTCCTGGGTAATGTGCTGCTAGAATAGCCGTTACGTTCTCGTTGTCAGCCCAAGGCATCAACACAACACCAGGGCCATGTGTGACGACGACAGTGTTGGGACACAACTTTGCTGTACTCTCCACCGCAAGGGTAGCATTCCAATGGAAGTCCAGATCGGGCCGATCTGAACCTTCTGTTGCGAAAGCCTTGAGGAATATCAAGCAGACTTCCGGTATCGGGTAAATCGAACGAAACCTTCCGTCCGCGATCTCGTCGTTGTCGAAGAGCCATTGAACGCGCCCGCCTAAAGAACGGACCTTGTTTCGGATGGCTTCAAGTGGACTAACAAGGCTCGTGTGTCGTACCGTTCCAGATCCACCGCCGATATCAAGAGTTCCCATCGGGTAGCCCATTGCAGCATCACCGGAGTCGAGCTGGGCTGAACCAATAGCTGGATCGGGAAGATCGTTGCCAAAGAGACCAAAACTTGTTTTGTTCGACAAGGGCAACGTATTGTTCAAGTTCTTGAGTAACACAGTGCCAGCCGCACCTAACTCACGTATGCCTTTTGCGTGATCGCCACGAACGTCCCGAGCAGGTACATCAGGGAAGGATGCGGCCAAGGGCGATTGATGACCATAGATGTAACTGAGAAATACAGGTCCGCTGGCAGGATCAGTGACAGGGAAGTCCTCGTCCTGACCCAGCCGAAAGTACGGCGTCATGACTCTTGTCGCCATATCGTCAAGGCGAGCGGATGAGATGTTGCCTGCTTCGATCGCATCAGCGAGCGAGTCGCCAAAGTAGAAGATTCCAGTGGGACTCGTGGTTCCAGGCATTTCCATATCTAGTCCTGCATTTACTGTTCCAACCGTTGAATGCGTAGCCTCCCAGTCAGAAACGATGTATCCTGGAAAGGCGAGTTCGTCTTTGAGAATGTTGTTTAGTATTTCTGGATTGGCGCAAGCGTAACTGCCGTTGACGCGATTGTAACCACACATGACGGACGTTGTCCCTGCATGGACAGCATTGGCGAACGGCCAGATGTATAACTCATGGAGTGTCCGGTCGTCGATGTTGGCAGATACCGCCTCTATTATTGTTCCATTTTCCCGGGTAGAACGGGTACGTTGGGTTTCTTGTTCGTTACCGATGTAATGCTTTGAGGAGGTCTGCACACCGGCTCCCTGGATTCCGAATATGGATTCGTTCATTGCGACACCCGCAAGGTAGGGATCTGGTCCGAAGCCCTCCCAATTGCGTCCACTTCGAGCGTGGCGACCCATTGGGCCAGCAGCCGGACTGTGACATACAAGTAAGAATCGACGTGTATGTGGTGCATGCAGATTTGCTTACCCAAGATGAACGTGCACACCTTTGGCTCTGAATTCTTGTCCAATGGCAAGTCCGCGTTCGTACATCAGTTGTCTGTCCCATGTAGCTGCAACTGTGATACCGGAAGCAAACACACTGACGCCGTCCGAACGCGACAAACCAGCGGGGCCATCGGACAGGCACAGGCCAGTGTAGTTGAGTCGCTCGATTGCCACAAGCGTGCCTACACATGGTAGGGATGGAGAGGAGCCATAACTACCAGTGACGAGGCCGATCTTCTCGGTGGTGTTAAGCTGAGAAACAAAATGGGTGGCTTTTACTGTCGCTTCAGTCCAAGCTATGAGATTGATCAGCTACCACCAATCTTGAAATACCTGTGCTTCACTATTCGGGTAGCTTACAAAGAGGGATTCGAATAGACGCATCCGCAGCCCATACAGAATATATAGATAATGACGTGGAAAGTAGTGTTACGACTTTCGCGACACGCATATTGCTAGGCCGCGTGGGACGTGAGGGTCAGAAACTGTGTCGTAAAGATTCAAGAATGCCCTTACCACTATTAAACACCACAGCAGCACAGCCCTGCCTATTGGGATTCTTATAGTCGTTCGGACTGCTGTAAGCGAAGCTGCACGCAAGGGGATATTGCTGATAC